AGCAACCGCCTCGCCGCGAGCATAGCCTCTAGCTGAGCAGTTTTGCAACGAGCATCGCCTCCAGCTGAGCAGTCTCGTAACATGTGATACCTCTAGCCGAGTATTGCTTTATGTTGAGTACTGGTTCAAAACATCTAGCCACTTCGGCCCGTACATGGATTGGATTTGAAGTCTCCAGCCAAAAGACTCTCATGACTGAAGACTTTGGGGACTACTGTTGGTACCAAACATATTGGGCCTCAGACATTGACACATTGGGCCTCAACATTTGGGCCTCATCACCTAGCCCATAATTAGTAAAAGGAGGAGCCCCTTATTCTATAAAAGGGGACTCTTACCCCCTCACAAATCAGACTCTAGGATACCCCTAAAACATACAAGTCTCAAACAACTCAGAGACAACACTCTCTTCCTCATGGGGACTCCCCTTGAGCTTGCAATCCATACATACAGTTACAGAGAAATACAATCAACATCAGTGTGGACGTAGCCCAAACATTGGGGTGAACCACGATACATCTTTGTGTTCTTGGGCGTTTGCATGATTCACGGTCGGATTTACGTTGTTCCAAGACCTTCCGATTTTGTGCATCAACATATACAATCATATACGATCCTATCAGAATAAAGGAAAGAATAATTACATCCTAAAAATAGGAAACTAAATATGGTAGGAATCCCACAATTGTAGGAATCCTAATACAAGTCAACACAACCAACATTCAATCAAACAAGTTCATTAATTGACATGGCATGTATGCACCACTTGTCAGATACTACGCTAATGTAATATAAGAACGTGATATCGTTAACATTTTTCATGTAACAATGATTTGATCTAGGGGTGTGATATCCACACATTTTTTTACTTCTCACACATCCCTTATTAATTTATGTCTTTTAATTTTCTTCAATTCATCCGATTTGACGGCCAAAAATTAGAAAGATGTGTGAAAAATAGGAAAGGATTGCACTAATAGCGACTCAATGTTCCTATTTCCTCCACACCATATGTTGCTCGTTGGCTCTCTAATTTCCATGTACTTGTAAATTGTAATGCCTTGATCTCTTTCCAATTTTCATAGATGTATTAGGAAAGCCTCCAATTGTGTCATGGTGTTCACTACTCAGCCCAAATTTCTCTTATGTGATAATGGCACAAGCAGTAATCCCTAGTTCCACGTTGCGATCATCATCCATCACTTCTGCAGCCCCAACCTGTCAACATTGCAATTGTCTCAAAAGTTGACAACTTTCCTGTCAATGGTAGCATTAAATCTTCAAAGTGAAAACCGGAGCATATCTAGGCCTTCATCACCAACGAGTCTTCTACGACACCGCTGGACATATACTATCGTCACTTTACAAACGAAGAGATAATTGTAGGGAAATTTTTTTATCGCAAATAGCAAGTGACGTTTTAACAAGTCTCTTATTTATACTTATAGTACTGTACTGCACTATCTTATTCATTTGTGTACTTATATAATCTCTGCACATAAAAGATGGCAAGTTTTCAGAGGGGATAGCACAAAATCTAGTGAAACAAACTAGATATTTTCTTGGCAAATAAAACAGCCGAAGTTAGAAAGTTGGTCTGCAAGTTCTTGTGACATATACGCTGGTGACTCAACCATCGTTGACCAATTTTATAGTAGTTATGAAACCATTGATAGTAGAGGTCGCACTTAGTGCGATAGTAAGTGCCTTCGCTCATGAGCGGTAGGTTTCGGGTTCGAGACTTGGGAGCAGCCTCTCCATAAAATGGGGGTAAGGCTAGCCGACATTCACCTCTCCCAGACCCTGCGTAAAGCGGGAGCCTTGTGCACTGGGTACGACCTTTTATGAAACCATTGATAGTACCATAGCAGGTTGTTCATCTGGAACTGCAACTTCTTAATGGTATTAGAGCAAATTGTATCACGTGTGAAGGCCAACAGGCATACATACTCTACATTATCCTGTTTGTGTTGTTCATGTGTTTGTTAGAGAATGATGTGTTAGGCTTGAAAATTTGTCACACGTGAGGGAGCGTGTTAAGCGTATCAATTCTAATTCGGAGAAGGGAGGGATCTACGATGTCTTATAAGTAAATGGACTACTTTTCATATTGTCAATTAATTTTATGGTGAAAACTCAACTTCCTTCAATTATCAATTAAAATGTTAATATTTAATATCATTCAAGAAATAGGTGTGCTATCCACACATCCCTTTTTTACTTTTAACACACATTTTTAATTTTCTACCGTTGGATCGAATGAATTAAAAATAAATAAAGGACATAAATTAATAAGGGATGTGTGAAAAGTAAAAATAGGTATGTGAATATCACACCCCCTAAAAAAAATCATTCTTATGCCATATAAATATCATTTTTTTTGTGGTGCATTGTTTTCGTGTTAGGGTCTTCCTCTTCCAAGAAGTGATTTCTTGAAAAGCAAATAAGTTTTTCAGAGTTTAGTTTTTTGTTGGCACATTGTTACTTCGTAATACCAATTCACATATGTTATAACTTATAACTTATTATATATTAAGTTCAAACATACGTTTGGTTTTTCGAACATCACTCAAGGAGCCTAGAAAAGACTCTTGAGTGACTATCTTTTCTACATTTTTAGTACAAACGATATTCTATACTAATCTGCACAAAGGAGATGGTTGAAACCCGAAACGCATTGAATTTTAGAAAAAACGTTAACCACTAGAGCAATTCAACACTTAAAACTATCTATTCTAGATGGCCCGCTTGAGAACTTGGGGGCCATAGACAAGTCTTCAAAGTAGGATCCTAAAGTTCTCTGCGACTCTTTATACATTGATATGTATAGAAAGAATTCGATAAATACATGAAAAGTTTTTTTTTTCTACATCAAGTATCCTTAAAAAGTAGCAAACACAATTATAATTTCAAACATTAAAAAGTAGCAAATACAATAATAATATCAAACTATAGGACCATTATCATACCAGAGAAAAAAGTTCCCAATAACTGATAAAGGAAAGCTATAACATAAAATAAAAATAAAAATAAAAATAAAGATAAAATTCTCTTTTCATTACCTTTTCAATTTGCAGGCAAGAGTTTAGAAATGATAATTTCGGTGTTTTGTCTATTTGAGAAGGGAATCGATTGTAATAAGCAAGGTTTTTACAATTCGGAGCATTTTTGCTCACCACAATTTTTATTATCTTTAGATGAGTTTGAATTTCGAGATTCGTGTAATAGATAGGAACAAATCTCAAAATTAAAACTCATTTAACAGTGATAAATAAGATGATGAACATACATCATACTAAATGTTGGTGAGTAAAAATGCACTCTGATGTTTGTTTTGGGATGCGATAACGGACATAGAGTTTAGTCGTCTAGAGTTTGGTGTATGACAATACAGGGAGTGCGACCAAAAAAGTAAGTCTGTTTTTCAAGTTAATAAAAATAAGTTTGAGTCATTTAACGTTTTAACTTTCACATACAAAGCAGGTTTATTGTTTTTATTCAATTAATCATATAAAACAATTAAACATTACAATGCTTCTCCAGATTTGGGAACCCTGGCGGCCGTCTAAGAAGACCACCTTCAGGGGCCGACGCCCTAATACTAGATTAGAAAACATCTACGAACAAAAACGTGCTAATAAACAAAATTTGTTTTCCAACAATAAGCCGTCCCCCAATGTTTTATATCTAAGTGCATCTCCTAATGAAATATCATTCAAAATGTCAAATTTCAATTTGATGGTTGACTTGGTAATTTGACATATTATCAATATTTTTTTTCCACTCCATATGCCAAAATTTATTGTTTCATTTATGTTTTTTTAAACAAAAATAATAAAAGTTTGATTGTTGTTGATTTAAATATAATACAATAACACTTAAATATGCTAGCATTTAAGGTAAGACAAGTGAAATGCCTTTAGAAATAGCAAAAAGCATACTTGAAGCCAATTTCAAATTTGGCATCTCTTGGGGTTTTTGAACTTTAATCCTTCAAGAAGATTAAAATTTAAAAAAAACCTGGTGTTAGATTAAATATTGATTTTAGTCCCTAATGTGTCCTTAATTCAAAATAATTAATGTGCATTTTATTTAATGTCTCCCATTAAATATTTCAATTTATTAATACACAAATTTTAATTTATTTTTTGACCAAAAAAGAGTTTTTTAATCTATTAATTTTATTTAACATTCTTCAAATTTGAAAGACTAAATTAATGTACCTAAATGTTAGTACCGAAATATATGTACCTAAATATATGCACCAAAATGTATTAATATTAAATTATTGTACCTAAATGTGTGTACCGAAATGTATGCACCGAAATGTTAGTACTGAAAATGTATTATATTGAATTAATGTACCTAAATATTTGTATCGAAATGTATGTACCGAAATGTGTGTACCTAAATGTATGCACCGAAATGTATTATAATGAATTTAATATACCTAAATGAAGAAGATAAAGTACATCGAAATATATTGTATAACAAAAATTAGTTTATTTAAATGTTCACAACAAAATATATTACGATGAATGAAATGAAAATAAAAATTATAATGAAATAAAATTAATACATTAAAAATTAGAAAGAAAAAGATAAATAATTAAAAAATCAAAATATAATTAATAAATGAGGCTATTAATGTATCAAGGGACTAAAATTAGATTTTGATCTTACTCATGATTTTAATCAAAAAGTCATATTTACCGAGGATTAAAATGAAGTTTTCTATATTTTTAACATCTTTTTTTAAAGATAATCAAGCCTCTAGGTAAAGAGATTCCTTACTAAAGATTATCGCACGCGGTGTCGTAATCTTCCCACCACGCACTGTGACGCGGTATCGACTTTTACTCGGTGCGTCCGTCTTTTCTTAATCGGTCACCACCGATTGATTCCCGCGCACCATCTCACCGAGTCAACCCATCTCATAATTTTCAACGAAACACCATCCGACCCCAGTTTAAATCACAAACTTCTCATCCATCACCAATAAATACCCCAATCCGATCACGACCCTATTCCAAAAACAAACAGAAATATTTCCAAGTCTAACTGATCATCATTGCTTGAGAGTTTCTCTGACTAATTAATCAACGACATGTCTTATGCTGTACCGGTGCCGGCGGCAGGGCCGAGCGCACAGCCATTGGCGAACCCAGTGACGGTGGTGAGCCCGCAGTTCCTCGCAGCGTACCCGGTGGACCTGGTGATCACGGAGAAGATGATGACCATCAAGGAGGGTGCGTTTACTGTGTCCGATGTCAACGGCAACCTCATGTTCAACATCAAAGGCTCACTTTTCAGCCTTCACGACCGCCGCGTGTTGGTCGACAACGCCGGTAATCCAATCGTCTCTTTCCGACAAAAGGTACCCTACCAGTTATACCATGCATCTTTCTATAATTTCTTACCTTTTCTTCAAAAAAATTTGAAGTTCAACATTTTCTTTCCAAAAGTGGATGGAAAAAATCAACTTAGTTGACAGACTTGAACAAATTTCTTACCTTTTTTTTAAAATAAAAAATCGAAGTTCAACAAGTTTTTAAGTTCAAAATTGTGCCATAATTGACGAATTTGAACAAAATAAAAGTAAAATATGCAATAAAATAAAAGAACTTTGACGAAAAGCTCTTGATACTGTTTACTTTAACGAAAAATAATATTTTTACACTAAAAAGTCAATCATGGTACTATTCACTTCACCCTTTATCTTGTTCTTATCGTTAAACCTCAAAGTTTTCAAACTTTTTTCATTAGTTTTTCTATAAAATAATTATAGGTACGAAAGTGAAAATTCAAGTAGATTACATAAGTGTGATTGTAATTTGGCCTCTTCCCAAGGATAATTCCCAAATTAAGAAGATGAAGTCTCCGGTTGGGTCAGTTCAACCAAGACAAAGGCATGGGAGTCTTTGGACATCTCATGGTAATGCAATAATCAAATCTTAATAATAAGACGTTGACGATGACGTTGATTCATTTTTCTTTTCTTTTGCTAATTTCGGTAATTTTAGTAAATGAAACTTGTCGTGTTGCACTAACTTACTTGTTGGATTGCTTATATTAATCGGATTCTTTTTTGTTGGTTAAGATAATGACGGCACATAGGAGATGGCAAGTATATAGAGGAGAGAGCTCAGACTCCAAAGATCTACTTTTCAGTGGCAAGAAGGCATCTCTTTTGCAGTTCAAGACTGAATTAGATGTGTTCCTGGCCGGTAACACAAAAGAAGACAACTATGATTTCAAGGTCAAAGGAAGTTGGGGGGAGAGATCTTGCACCATATACACTGGAGACAACACCATCATTGCTCAAGTAAGAATTTTACTGATCATTCATCAATTTCGTGCTTCAATATTGTGTTTGCTTGATTACTGAGGCGGTACAATGATATATTTATATGATGCATACGCATGATTCTAACGCGTGCATGCGTTCTTATTGTTGAATGCAGATGCATAAGAAGCATGACATCAAGAGCCATTTCTTTGGAAGAGATGCATTTGGAGTGACGGTGTACCCTAATGTCGATTACGCCTTCATAGTCGCTGTTGTGGTCATTCTTCATGAGATTAATATGGACAGAAGCGGGCTAGACTGAAGCCGATCACGATGCTTCTTAATTACAATTAAGTTCAAATTTACAAGTTAATGAATAAATTGATGTCTGTTGTGATGACTATTTCTATTGTGTTTTCTGGAAAAAAAAAAAAAAAAAAAACTTATGAATGAGTGATGATTTGGATCTCTCCTAATTTAGTGCTATTATCTTTCAAAATTCGCGGTGCAATTGTTAGTTCACTAGTCAATCAATTACGACTCGTTCAGAAGTACTTTTGAAATGACTAAAAACGTTTCTGGTAAAATTAGTTCTAGGTTTCAAAAGCACTCAAGATATGTGCTTTATCTAGTGTCCTTTGGAATTTTATTAATAATTGATTTCAAAAATATTTTCACTAAAAACAGTGATAATCATTTTAAATCACTTTCAAACAGGGTTCTAAAAGACACTAGACGCTAGTCGGGCGGCGGGCTGGGACCTAGTGCCTAGGCGGGGTCTAGGCAGACTAGGCAGATTTAATTAAATTTATTATATTTCGTGTAAATAAATGTATATTTATAATTAAAATATATATAATTTCATCATAAACTACAAAATAGTATGACATATATATTATGAGCTATCGGAACATAATGAAAACATAGGAAACAAGCATATAATGTGTGTTCATTTAAGTATTCAACATGTCTCTTACAATTTATTAAAAAAATAAAATGCAAAATGAAAGTTATCTATTTTCTGTCTCAGTGAGTCGCAACCTAGGCGGGTGCCTAGGTGGATCTTGGCAGGCACCTCAGTAGGTCTAGGCGCATTTTCTTAATTTTCAAATGCCTAGACGTTAATCGGGACGGTGACCAACCGTCTAGTGTCAAGGCGGAAATTTTTAGACCAATGCTTTCAAACGAGCCCATAGTGGAGATTTCCCAGGCTCGATGAGTCGGTTAAGTGACGTCACCACTCCAACTTGCCTTATGCTGGGGTATGCGTTGGGTCAGATAAGTTTTATGTACACTTATTCACCTCATGCGCACCATTTGTTTCACTCCTTGGATAAACAGCAAAGGCGAATCAAGGGTCACAACTAAAAGAATATGGCCATCATGAAACCATTGAATTCTACTGTTGACCCTAGAAATTACAAAGCCTACGTGGCGCGCAGGCCGAATATATTCTAAGCTAACTACGTCCTTCGGTGATTGCGGGGCGTGCCAACTCGTCGGCCGAGGCTCGGCCGAGGAGTAAATTTGATGATGCTGCGTTGGGTCGCGCTACTAACTTCTGCGTCTTGCGATTGCGGCCGAGAAAGGAACACGTCTCGGCCTCTTGGGTTCTCGAGCCTGAAGACAAGGCTGCTATTTCTTACAAAGTTCACGAACCGAATTCGGCTTGCAATGTGCCGAATGTAATAACTGTGACACCTCACCTCGCCGAGAAGGCTAATGAGATGACCTCGACCAACAAGGATTCGAAAACCCTTCTCGACCGAGACTTAGATAGGTAATCGACCGTTCTCGCCGCAGTGCTGTTGATGCCAACGGAAGATACTGCGAGACCGACCGACTCTACGGTGACAGAGCTATCTATGCCGACTTAAGATATCACCGGTTGCTTCCACAATGCTGTTGATGCCAACGGAAGATGTGTCAGCGAAAAAGGAAAAGAAAAAGATCTCAAGTTGTGAGAGTTTGCGCAGGGCAATTTTGTGTTGATTTGCAGGGGGCTTTTTCCATTGCTGAATGTCTTGTAGTTCTATCCTATTCAGAACTAGGTTTCCCTCTCCGGATTAACGTTACCCCCTCAATCAGTCCTATCTCTGCTAGGACTACGAATCTAGTCCTTAACTGAGCCGGATTCGCCTTCTAGTTTTACTGACTCGTCGAGAGTCCCTATAGGACTCGACTGCACTCTGATAACCGCTAGGCCTAGAAGCCCCTGAACGCCCCCATGACTCTCTCTCGCCGTACGTCTTCCCGGGCCGAAAGTGATCCCTCCCTCGGCCCAAACTGTTATTTTGGGCCCAAACATTGCCCCCTCGCTTTTGAGGTCCTCGGCCTGAAACCTTCGGCCGAGTTTCGGCCTTGAAGAAGCGAATCTACCACTCAGGATCCCAATACCCGAGTTCCAAGGCGCATTTATTGAACATGATCGCACGATCTTGATCCTGCTAAACCACTCGCCACGTGGCATCCCCTAACATGGCCAATCCCCAATAATGACGTCTGAAGCGTGCGTCTGCCCGAACCGTCTCGCCATTATGACCACTATCTCAATCCGCGAGCCATTTCATCAGTCTGTGAGCCCACCTGTCATCGTGCAGGCGTCGAACCGTCTTTCGTCATTAACTTCGCCGTCACACGCGATCGTGCGCCCCTAAAACCTAAAACCGTCGGTCTTCTCAACCGCATTCCCCAAATGCTCATCATGATCAACGATTCCTCCGGTCGATTTTGCCCTTTGTTTTGAATTTCAAACGATTGCTCTTCCTCCCATTACTCTATAAATACCGAAATTTCCTCATTTGTACTTTACGTTCTCAAACTTCCTGAAATCCCCTACCCTTGCTCTCAAGTGCATTCCTCCATTCCAAGTTTTCGTCCTCAAATCCCCAACCCAGAAAACCTCCTTACGCTGTGCTTTTACAATGGCCTCCTTCATCTCCAAGCTTTCCCGGGAATGCGACCAGCATCCCAAGATCCTTGATCGGAGCTCGATCAAGACTATACGGTTCGAGAACGACATGAGCACCGTCCACCAAATCCTGGGTCCTCTCTTCAAGGCAACAATCCCGCCGACCATCACTGGTCTTCTCCAGGAACACTGCCTTACACCCTTGCTCCAAGGGTTTGAATGGTCGAGATGGGAGGCAGTAAAGCCCCAAGGCTCCTGGCCCTCGACGACCACCACCTGGGCGACCTGGGTTGTCCGAATGGAAAGGCTCTTCGGCGAAAAATGGAAAATCCTGGGTATCTACGACGCCATCCTCCTTTCGTCGATGGACATTGTCCCTGACAAGGAGCTGCTCCTAGCCGCTCTATGCTTCTGGTGCTCAGCCACCAACACAATGGTCATTCCCCTTGGTCCCATTGGTCCCACCATCCTGGACATCACCGCCATTTTGGGGACCTCGGCCACCGGGATCCCTATCGACGCGACCCTCTCCGGGCACCCGTCGAATATCGATCTGAAGACGCTCTTCGACCGTCGAGCCTTCGAGACCCTGAACAGTGACGGTCACATCCCGTCGAGGGATGAAATACAAAAGCTCCACAAGAACTTTCTCAACTACAACACCCTCTACCTTCACTTCGCCGGTCGAGGGAAGAGGACCTGCGAGAGGGAGAGCATGAAGCCTTCCTCTTCTACTGGTACAACAAATACATTGTTGTACCAAATCAAACAAATGTTTGGTCGAGAATATGCCAGTGGCCGAAGCCCTGGCCAGTGGTCACGTCCTGGCGCTGAGTTCTAATATTCTTGCCCACCTCTTCCGTTGCCTGGCCGAGGCGACTCTCCACACGGTGGACCCCCACCAGAATGGCCCTCTCTGGGTCTTCCAGCTCTGGTTGCAGGTGTACTTCGCCTCCCTTCGGCCGGCTATAGCTGATTTCTCAGCAACAGAGGCTCTTGGTCCTCAGCTAGCCTCCCGACCAACGCCTCCTCATCAGGCCGAAGAGGTATTTAGGTACCTCTTTGCCCTTGACGATCTCTCAAGCGACGAATTCCTAATTTGTCGTCGTCGCGATTACCCCCCCCTCCATCAGACTGCCTACCTCTACGTGGGCCGCAGAGGAGGATGCCGCTCTTCGCCAAACCTGGGGGTCGTTCGTGCTTGCTCGCGACCTTCCTCTCGGCTGCGACGGGAAACGGTCGGGGTGGGAAGTGTACCATCCGAACTTCCTTGCCCGTCAGCTCGGCTATCTTCAGGGCTGTCCCGTCCCCCTTCTCTCTTCCCGCACAGTATTAAGCCGCGGACGCGAGCCTCGCTCTTCAGAGAACGAGTGCAGGACTGCCGCGAAGGAGTTTCAAGAGTACTGCCAAAGATTTCGCCTACGACCGGCCACCCCAGAAACCCATTGCACTGACACCTTCGGTGAGTGGTGGGAAAATTACACTCAGGAGTTCTTCGGTGCGCCGGTCGTCGAAGATGTACTAAGCAGGCTCTTCGGTGACCGACCTAAGAAAGCCCCGGCCCCCCACTCTCAAGGTAGTTGTTCAATTCCCCCTTTTCTTCAACCTTGCATATTGTACGCCCTACTGAATTGTCTTTATCCTTTTAGGTAGTCGGCCTTTGAGAAAGACAGAGGCAGTTGCCGCTGCTATGGCCGGGAAAAAATCGGTCGTGGCCAAAAAGGACAAACCTGCTGGTAGGGCCGGGCTGATCAAACGGCCTCGCCAAGAGGCCGGGCCGGCTATCGAGCCTTCCCCGCCTGCCAAGCGGGTCAAACAACTGGCGAAGAAAGGTGCACGGGAGATCCAAGTTATTTCCAGCCACACGACGACTCCCAGTGCTTCCCCTTCTCCCGCCGCTGGCCATTCTGGGGTCAAGAAACAGCCGGCTTCGGCCATAGAGACGGTCCCAGCGCGGCCTGCTTCTGTGGCCGGCGAATCAGTCGTACCTCCCTCTGTCGAGAAGGCACCTGTCTCACACCAGGCGGTTCCTACGACCGAGGAAACCTCTCCCAAGAATCCAAAGCCCACGGTCTTCGTGCTGGAAGAGAGTGAGGGGAGCGACGAGGTCCCGCTGGCGCGTCGTCCTCCTACTCGTCAACAAACTCCTCCAGTATCCGAGATGGCGGTTCAACCCGGCCCCTCCTCGGCTAATCGTGGCAAGCGCACGGTCGAGGAACCGACCCCGGCGGCCGAACCTCTCGTTCCTTCTCAAGACCAGGACGTCCCTGCCTCCACTGAAGCAGCTGCGCCAGTCGGCCCATCGGCAGCCGACCGTGGCAAACGCCTGCTCGAGGAACCCGAGGCCACGGCGGAATCGCCGATCCATCCTCAAGACCAAGGCTTCCACATCCCTCCACAGGAGGTTACCTCGGCTTTTGTAAGTACCTTCAATTTTCCTCCTGATTGCTTTCTGCTTTAGAATTCTAAACAAAGAAAAACTAAATGTCAGGTACCTGTACATTCTTTTCACCGTCAATTCTATGCGCCGAAGGGCGTTATCTATATTTCCTGGCCGCCTCAGTG